AAAAACTTACCCTAAGGTTAGCAGAAGGAAATAAAAATTTGAGCAGAAATAAACAAAATAGAGAATAGAAAAACAGTAGAAAGGATGAACAACAGAGAAGATAAATTCCTGTCTACCTGCAATTATGTCCCCTTTGGTCAGTTCTCCCCACCCTACCCCTCAGCCTGTGGTAACCACCATTTACCCTCTACTTAGATTACTTTTTAGAATTCTACATATAAGTGAGATTATGCAGTATTTGGCTCTCTGTGCCTGGCTTATGTCACTTATTACATGATGTCCTCCAGGTCCATCCATGCTGTCACAAATGATAGAATTTGCTTCTTTTTTTCCTCAGGCATTGCTTATGAGTACTACATTTTATTTATTCACTATCCGTTGATGGACACTTAAGTTGATTCTGTATCTTGGCTATTATGAATGATGTTGCAGTAAATATAAGGGTGCAGGTATCTCCTCAACATAGTGATTTCAATCACTTTATATATATATTCCCAGGAGAGGATCACATGGAGGTTCTATTTTTAATTTTTTTAAGACACCCAGGCTAGAGTGCAGTGACATGATCATAGCTCACTGCAGCCTCAAACTCCTGGGCTCAAGCAATCAGCCTCCTGCCTCAGCCTCCCAAGTAACTTGCACTGTAGGCACATGTCACTATACCCAGGTAATTGCTTTTTAGAGATGTGATCTCACTGTATTGCCCAGGCTGGTCTCAAATGTCTAGCCCCCCCACAATCCTCCTACCTTAGCCTTCCAAAGTGCTGGGATTACAGCCAGGAGCCATTGTGCTCAACTGTGTTTACTTTTTTGAGAAATGTCTCCATACTGTTTTTCATAATGGCTATGCTAATTTATATTCCCCCCAAGAGTATACAAAGTTTCCCTTTTTTCCACATCCTAGTCAACATATATCATCAATTTTCTTTTGATGATAGCCTTTCTAACAGGCCTAAGCTGATATCTCATTGTGCTTTTAATTTATATTTCCCTGATTTTAATGATTTTTTTCATAAGCTGGTGATAATTTGTATGCCTTCTTTGAAAATTATCTTTTCAAGTCCTTTGCTCATTTTTTAATTGGGTTATTTGTTTTCTTGCTACTGAGTTCTTTGAGTTTGTGACTATTCTTAAAAGCTCTTTTTTTAAGACCAAAATTGTCCCAGGTATTTCCAGGCGTTGTCTTAGCCTGGAGGAGGCAGATGCAGCAAGATAGCTAACAGTGTAGGTGTGGACTAGCTGAAAGGGTTGGCCTCAGAAAGGACAGGCAAGGATCTGCAAGCCGCAGATAAAGCTGCTGGGGCTGTTCTCTCATTGCCACAGACCAGGAGGCCAGCTCCTTAGCACACGAGGAGAGCTCCAATAGAGGCCATTCTTCTGGGCCCCTCTGATGCACGTAGGATTCTTGCTTCTCCCTTCTTGTGATGCTTTACTAAGAATAATGTGTTCCACTTCCATTCAGGTTAATACAAAGGATGTAAAGGCTCCATCTTTTTTAGTGGCTGAATAGTATTCCATGGTATACATATACCACAGCTTGTTAATCCATTCCTGGGCTGGTGGGCATTTAGGCTGTTTGCACATTTTGGCAATTGTAAATTGAGCTGCAATAAACAGTCTAGTGCAAGTGTCCCTGTGGTAAAAGGATTTTTTTTTTCTTCTGCATAGATGCCCAGTAATGGGATTGCAGGATCAAATGGGAGGTCTAGTTTGAGTTCTTTGAGGATTCTCCACACTTCCTTCCAAAAAGGTTGTATTAGTTTGCTGCTGTCTCACCAGCAGTGTAAAAGTTTTCCCTTCTCTCCACGTCCACACCAGCATCTGCAGTTTTGAGACTTTGTGATGTGAGCCATTCTCACTGGGGTTAGATGGTATCTCAGGGTGGTTTTGATTTTCTTTTCTCTAATAATTAGGGACGCTGAGCATTTTTTTTTGAAAGTTTGTTAGCCATTCATCTGTCTTCTTTAGAGAAAGTTCTATTCATTTCTCTTGCCCAGTGATATAAGGAATTGTTGGCTATTCTTATGTTTATAATTTGAGTTCTCTGTAGATCCTAGTTATCAAGCTTTTCTCTGATTTAAAATCCCAATTGTTTTCCTTTAAAACAATCCTTTCAGAAACAATTTGGATATTCCCCTTCTAAAGTGCACTTGATTGGCCACAGCTTGGGAGCACATCTGGCTGGAGATGCTGGGTCGAGGGTACCAGGCCTTGGAAGAATAACAGGTAAGCATGCCCTGGAGTTGGGCTTTGTTTACACACAAGTATCTGAACTGCCAATAAAGCAGTAGGAGGAAATGTAAAATACTGAATGTGACTCATCCAAAATAAAACATGGAACTGTTTTCAAAGCATGAGTATGAATACTGGTTCCAGAGTGTCACTGCTGCACTGTTTGTGGTGGGAAAGTGACAGAAACGATATGATGTCCCACCTGTATAGGAATGATTCAGTGAACTGTGACAGAGTTCATGCTTTAAAATTCTGTGCTGCTGATACAAAAAATGACTTTGACGTGGAGGTAGAGAGTAAAATGGTTGTTACCAGAGGCTGGAAAGGGAATCACGGAGAGAGAAGGGGAAGAGAAGTTGGTTAATATGCACAAAAGTGCAGTGAGATAGGAGAGTAAGTTCTAGTATTTGGTAGTACAGTAGGGAAATTACAGTTAGTAATTTGCTTTATATTTCAGAACAGCTACAAAAGAAGAATTGTGATTTTTTTTAACACACACAAAAAAGATAAATGTTTGTGGTGATGAATATCCCAGTTACCTTGATTTGATCATTACACACTGGATATGTGTGTAAAAATACCACATATACCCCCACAATATGTGTAGCTATAATATATTAATAAAAAGTTAAACGTAATAGTTTGATTCCCACCGATTATCTTGGAAGGACATTCATGACACACCTGGATTGCAGCTCATCCAGTTGTTAAAGCTTTTAATATTACCCCTGCATATACTATTAATTCTAGAAGTAAGTTGCAAAGTGTAAACCATGAATTGGCTTTTCACATATGATAATTGATCATGTCTTTCCCCTGCACTCAGATTTTCAAACCAATTGAATAAGATGGTTGGAGATCAAAACATCGGTTCCATCACCAACAGGCTAAGCTGGGCTCTCCCCTGCCTGCGTCCCCCACCGACCATCAGTCAGCAAGTCCTGTGTCTCCTTCATCTGCTTTCTACCTCTCCATCCTCTGGTCGTTGTCCTTGCTTAGTCCCTCTCCACCTCTTGCCTGTGTTTTGGCCTTGACCCCACTGGGTACCCGGCCCCGGTTTGCACCAATACTGCCAGCCATGCCACTCCACTGCTCAAAAGCTCTCAGGATTTTCTTTTCCTTCAAGCTTCTTAGCTTGTCTTGTAACTGAGTCACGTCTCATCGTATTTTTCATGTCCTGTGCCTTTGCACATGCTGTTGCCTCTCTTCCTGGATACCCACTGTTAATTTTGAAATATTCCTTTCAAATGTTTCTTGCTGAGACAGAATTAATATTCTGTGTTTCCTATACCCCTTGAAATATGCCTGTATTATATTTGAAAATACAAATAAGATGTCACATAGTCTTATAATTATTTATGTGTTGTTATTTTCCCCACTGCCTCCAGGCCTGGTATACAGTTGGTGCACATTTTTTGTTTGTTAAACTGCCATTCTCTGTACACAAACACACACATGCTTTAAATTCAAATTTCACTCTAGATTTGTTTTCAAGTAGTTAAGAATTCCAAATCCCAGTTTGGAATTTAAAGTATTTTGCCTCTGCAGTCTCTTGATATAACGGGCTTGTTCCTGCTGTAAGTTTCTCTCATCTCCTACCTCTCTGCTCCCAATTGCCCCTCACCTGCCACCACTATCACTATAGTTAGTCAAATAACAAAAATTATATTTTTATGATGAAGTCATTGGGTGGCAAAAATTCCCCTTTGCTCTCAGTTTTCAAGGTCAAGGGAAAGAAGAAATGAGTTCAACTTTTGAGGATGGAATCTCATGTGACCCATGCAGGCTGTGAGACAGCTCAGTCTAAATTAAAAGGAAGAACACAGCCACATGTGTATTTAAAATTCACACTGAGCTACAGCAAATTTAAAGAGATTTTGTTTTTATTAATTTTTCTTCCAAAAATCTGATACAATTTAGCTCCCTTATTTTTCATCAGGTAAATTACCCTAGTAATTGGGTAAACAAACAGATCTTTAAACACTCTCTGAATGTCCAAAGAATTTTATGTGATTTAGATATTACGATCTATATTTCTCAGTATAATTAGTTTTTGAGGAATCATGTTCCTTGAGTAACAAAAGAACTGAGACCTCAACAACAGATTTTAGCTTTATAATACACCAGATAAAAACAAAATTGATATAACCCGTTAAGGACGTGTGTAAGTTTCTATGTTTTTGGTAATTGTGTATAGAAGGAAAGTACTTGTCACGAATGACCCTAGTTAGGGGGTTACTCCACTGATTCAGTATTTGTTTTCCTTTTATCTATGTTTTCCCTATTTGAGGGTAAATTACTCACTCTTTACTGATATACACGTAACATCCAAATGCACACATGTTAATAAACTCAGGTCCTGAATGGCAAATTCTCACCCATGTAGTGGGGTTAAGTCTCCCTCCCTAGAAACAGTTAATAGGTTGAACCTAATAGTTCTCTTCTCTTCTTTAGACTTTTCTCCTGAGATATCCTTGAACCACAAAGCCAGTGTTCCATCTTCCCTACCTACCTCTTAGAAGGACTGGTTGTCCTTTTTATTAAGACTATCTGATTGCCTCTTCCTCCAACCAGTGTACCTATATTTGAATGTTTCTCTCCAGGGATCCTGACATCATAAGTGTGTGTAATCATACTGACAAAAGAAAGAAAAAAATCTTCCTGGAGTTGAACATTAAGTCTTAATTGTATTTGACCCTTCTGCAGACTGTGACCTGGCTGATGCCCCAGCCCCCCCAGCCCCTCATTGGCTGAGATGCTCTCTCCTTCCTCTTAGCGTCTGTGGTTCCACATCTTCCTGGGTGCCTTTCTTCTCTCCAGGCTTCTTCATGAGTTCCTTTCCTTCTGCCTTCCCTGACTTGTTGATGTTCTTCAAGGTCTCATCCTAAGCATCCTGCCCTCTCCTCTTCTCACTCTATAATCTCTCTGTTAATGATTATATTAGTCAGGAAAATAAACACACACAAATCCTATGGCAAACTAAGTGAGCTGAGGCCATAAACACCCCATGACTGCAGCACAAACATTCATCTCTTGGTCATGCCGCATTCCCAGAGGGGTCAGCTGCAGCACTGCTCTGAGTCCTTTCCACCCAGTCCCCAGTCTCCACGTTGTAGCAAAGATATTTTGCTAAAATATAAATCTGATCATAAATCTCCCTCCCCTGAAAACTTGGTAGCAGCTTCCCATTGTCAACCAGATCATGTTCAAATTCCTTGACCTGGCTGAGATGACATGTGGCTCTTACTTGCAATGGTATCTTCATCTTTCACCAAATTCCAAAACTCTGGACACCCGCCTTAGCAAACTAGTTACAGTTTCCCAAACATGCTTAGCTCTCTAACCTAGATGTGGGCATTCTGCGTCCTCCCCTGGGTGCCTACCCCCATCTCTACCCTGGCTGACTCTTCAAGTCCCTCAGATTTCTGCTTATATTTCCTATCCCCAGCAGAAGCATGTTCCAATTACCCATGACCAGGTTATACGCCACTTTTCTGTGCTTTCATAAATCCTGTGTTCACCTGTGCCTCTGCCCTGGGCATACTGGATTGGGGTGCCTTCCCCCACCAAATGGAAAGCCCCTTGAAGAGAAGGCGAAGTCTATCCCTTTTACCTGGGTACTGTACCAAGTCCTTGGCACATAATAATATGCTTGATAAACAATTGGTAAATCTGGAAATGAGTGGATATGTGAATGATCATAAGGTTTTCAAGACTTCCAGCTTTCATACCTGTATTTTACTAAACACTGAAACATGAAGCCAGGGGCTGGAAGGCTGGGCAACTGGCCTCTTAGTTCAGTTTGCCTGGAACATGTGGATGACTTTGTCAAGTCACTCTGTATTTCTGGGCTTCAAATTTTTCATCTGTATTATTATGAAATAAAACCAAGTGAGCCTAAGGACAATGACTCTACTATTTTAATTGCATTGCTTTGTTTTGTTTTGTTTTGTTTTGTTTTGTTTTTAAGAGAGGGGGTCTCACTCTGTTGCCCAAACTAGAGTCTGGAGTGCAGTGGTGCAATAATAGTTCATTGCAGCCTTGAACTCCTGGGCGTCAGCGATCTTCCCATCTCAGCCTCCCAAGTAGCTGGGACTACAGGTGTGCACAACCATGCTGGCTCATTTTTCTACTTTTTGTAGACTTTTGTGGTCTCACTGTGTTGCCCAGGCTGGTCTCAAACTTGTGGCTTCAAGCAATCTTCCTGCTTCAACCTACTGCCTAGAATTACAGGCCTGGGCACTGCACTAGCCTGTAAATTCATTTTTACATATTTAAGAGCCTTTGTTTTTTTAATTTCTTATTTTTGCCTATATATATTGCTTTTCAAGATCTTCCATAATCCATAGCCTTATTGTATATGTAGTATTCCATATATAGGCTCTAGAAAAGCCACTGTGATTTTTCTGAGTCTTTCTCAAAAGCTGCTTTGACATAGCCTTCCTTACGTATAGGCACCTGACATTGCATAATAACTTCATGTCCACCCTATAGATAGACCTGGCATTAATAGATTCAGTTTATGTGCATTGTCCTGAATGATATTTGACCAATATCACATACATGTCATGTTAGAAAGGATACCTTGTCTTCACCATCTATGGTTCCAAAATAATAGCACTTTTCAAGACACTCTTCCATAGAACACATCTTGGTTTATTGACATTGTGCTTTCTCTAGGGTTGGATCCGTCTGGGCCATTTTTCCACAACACTCCAAAGGAAGTCAGGCTAGACCCCTCGGATGCCAGCTTTGTGGATGTTATTCATACAAATGCAGCTCGCATCCTCTTTGAGCTTGGTAGGGTTTTTTTTTTGTTTGTTTTTTTGTTGTTTTTGTTTTTAACAGAAACAGAAACTGCATTGAAGCACAGAGGAGATTTTTGAAAGCATAACCCTGTTTTGGTCTATTTCAGGTTTCGGAACTACTGATGCTTGTGGTCACCTTGACTTTTACCCAAATGGGGGGAAGCACATGCCAGGATGTGAGAACTTAACTATGCCTTTATTTAAATTTGATTTCAATGCTTATAAGGAAGGTAAATACTTGTTTTTATGAATGCTGCTGAGTATGTTCACTCGGCTCTCAGATGGGATTTGTGTCCTTTGGTATATAAAAGTTGGGATTTCTATTATTTTATATATAATATACATATAAAATATATTTTTGCCCCGAACATGGTCACATGTTATGAGGTTCTCCCACTGGTTGTGAGATTTGCAAGACCAGGCACCATGTCTAAGTTACCCCAATGCCTTACACAATGTCTAGCATATCGTAGTCACTCAGTATAAACAAAGAAGTTGTGTAATTCATTCCACAAATGTGTATGGAGTGCTTCCTCTGTGCCATATAGGGATAAATGCTAAGGAGACAAAATAAAGCATGGAAGGGGAATACAATGTGTTGGTGACAGTGGAGGTAAAGTGGGGGAAGGAGATTCTAATAGGGTAGAAAGGGAGTTCTTACCAAAAAGATCACCAACAAGGGTAACCATATGGGTGCCGGGGGAAAGGCATTCCAAGGCAAGGGAGGAGCAGAGCGTAAAAGGCCTGAGACAAGACTGTGACTGGAAAGAAGTGGAAGAGAGGAGGGCAGTAGGGCATAGGTTGGAGAGGGAATGGGGCAGAGGGAGTTAACACAGGACCTGATGGATTATAGGAAAGACTTCAAGTGAGATGGAAACCATGGGAGGGTTTTCAGTAGAGGAGAAACATCATCAGTTTCATTTAACAGAATCACTCTGGATTTTGTAATTACAGATGGTATCTAACCTTTTGTAGTAGTTTCCAATAATAATAATATCTATAGGGCATTTAGTTATGTTTAAGGCACCAAGAAGTTATTATTAGGGAATTCTATTCTTCTCTATCTTTACATTTCATCATAATGTAAAAAATTAAACATATCACACATAATATATAAGAATTCATAATAATATAATATATTATGACATGATAGTAAGTATCTGGATGATTTTAAATACTTCACCAGTTGATCCCACATAGGTAGCATATCTAGATGATGAAATTATTTGGTCATTCATTTGTCTGTTTTAGAGGAAAGATACACAGATCATAACATTGACAGTATCTCAAGTTTCTATCTCTCCAGGGATAATTTCCAAGGTTTTAATAGTCATGTTGAAAGAATAAATGTCATAAGAGGTATCTACTTGTAATGTCTGCTTAAAAAACTGCTACTGGTGAATCTAGGCACTCGAATAAGAATTAAAATCAATTTCACCTAGTACAAATAAGCAAAATGCTTACAAAAAGGTCCATTATAAAACTTATTTCTTGCATTATTTTTAATATTACGGCTTTAAATCCTCTCTATTAAGATAAAATATAGATCAAAAGACTTCTTTATGTAACTGTATAAGTGTTATACACAAATCATATAAATTCTATATAATTCAAGTAAAACATACATTTATCATAAGCTATCATTTTGAAACATTACAAGATTTCCTGCAAATTCATTATATTAAAAGTACATTTATCATTCACATTAAGTCTTCAGATGACTTTTAAGACTTTAAGATATCTTACACTGTATTTATTACTAAGAACCATTACTTTTAAAATTAATAGTTCACTATATTCTAACAAACCATCTTGTCTAAATCACAATTAATTGTGAATATAAATCTATAGATTTATAGAAACCTAATTTAGGAGAAATCTTTGTTTAAGAAAAAGGACAATGCCAGCTATTGATCTCTGCTGACTATATTACATTTCTGAAATTATGCTGTCTCAGTTATCTATTTCATCACAAACCACGGCTTCTTAAAAGAGCAATTATTTTCCTGCCCAGGTTCAGAGGGTTTGTAATTCAGAGTTCTGGTGAGACTGCTTTGTGGGGTATTGGTGGGGTAATCCAGGGCACTACATACATCCTGGGGCTGGCCCAGGCCAAGGTGGGTGGGAACCATCAAGATGACCTTCCAAACCAGTTAGCCTGGATTTCTTAATGTAAGTGGGTTCCCAGGGAGCAAGAGTAGGTGCTGGAAAGCCTCTTGAGACTGAGGGCCTAAAACTTGAAAATTGTCAATTCTTCCATGTTCCATTAGTCAAAGCAAATCATAAGATCAGCTCACAATCTAGGAAGATGAAAAGTAGGCTCCATCTCTTGAGAGGAGAAATGATAACCTGATATTGCATATAGGGGAGGCTGAGGGGGTAGTTATTCATTGTAGTCCATTATTATAGAGTAATTATTACATGTACTAAATCCAAAATCTGGTTTCTCAAGATCAGCTAAGCTTGGTAGCTCATTGGGAAGAATAGTCCATACTATTTAGTAAAAACGTTATGAGAGAGAAATCATGTGACTAAAATGCCATGAAAACTTCAAAATGTACAGATGTATTTAGATCTATCGTATTTGTTATTGCAGTAATCCTGACTACAGAGGGCAATAATGTCATGCTTGACCATGGCAAATTACTTTTATCTTTGGCATTCTTAATAATACCCTCCCTCTTTCACATCTCTAAGTCAGCACTGGTTAATGTTGCTGTCTGTTTTGTGGTTGAATGGAAGGGCAGTCAGTCCTTCCTGCAGAAACAGAAACAGAGACTTGATATATGCTGTGGGTACAAGGATACTTTGTCAGAGAGCCCAGAAAGTATTTCAGGATATTGGTATCAAAGCACAAGGTCATCTTTTATTTCTTTACCTTGCTTGAATGTCCCTTTCGAATCATATGAGAAATTGTTTGTTCCAAAGAAAATATAAGAAACTGTCATTTCTTTGTAGGAAATGGTTCATTTCTTCAGTTATCAATTAATTGCTGTCAGTTAATTACAATTGTTTTCACAGAAGCTATTTCCTTCCTTGAATGCAGCCATGCCCAGAGTCATCTCTTTTATGTCGAAAGCATTCTCAACCCTGACTCATTCATTGCTTATCCTTGTAGATCCTACAAATCATTTAAAGCAGTAAGTAAAACATTTTGTTTGAAATTTAACTAGAAACATGGTCAGCTAGCTAAACGTTAGGACTTTACGTAGGTGGCAAAACACACATCTGCCATTTGGGAAAATAATGGATTGTTTCTCTGCTGAGCACTGAACAGTAGCTGGGACTGCTGGAGGGTTGGAATTACTAAACGAGCTATTTGTATTCAGGTTGTTTCAGGTCTTTTGAAGATCATATCCAATTTTGCTTCTTTGACCATTTGTTATGCAGTAATTAGATGCTACTGTGTAACAGGCATAAGTCCAGGACCAAATGTTTTCTGCATACATATTTTAAATGTCATCTTCAAAGATGCCCCGAGAAACCTGAATCAATCAATAGCTACAACCAAACATATTACTGTTTACTAGGAACATGAAAATTATTTTATTAAAATTTAATTATTCATACAGAGTAGAACTAAGGCACAAGTAGCACACAGCATCTCCACACTGATCAATATGTGACAAAGTACCAAATCTGATTTTGCTTGAGTCATAAAGCACGCAGTGCCAGATCTGAGCTAAATGTATTTTTCATTTGGTTATCACGATGAAAAGGAGAAAGAAAATCTATTTTGTAGTGGGATATAGAAAAGATTTTTATTCTTGTGCTTTAGAGATCTAATCCCCTGTTTTATCCGCTGGGCTTTCCAGTTGGAAGTTTATTGTAAGTAGCAGCATTTTGTGAGCACGTGTGGGGTTGGGACAGGAATAAGCATTTCTCTCCTGCTGCAGAGCATGGCGTGGGCACACACAGTCCATCTTCCAGTTGCATACTGTTCTTAGAAAGCTTGGCAGCCAGACGCTGGAGTTTCCCACATAATCTCTCTCTTCTCTACCTCTCCCATCTTCCTGCCATGGCTACTGGTCTGAGCTGGCTAAGGGATCCTGGCATTTTATTCTGGTGGAGCAGGCCTGTGGAGTCATTGTATATTCAGAGATAGGGGGTTACTCTGCAGGGTTGGGGCACCCTTAGGAGCTGGCTCATGCCACTTGGATGCTAATTTTGTTTACAAACTATAGAGAATGAGGCCATTTCCTTGACATATTTTATGTATTTTACCCAGATAGTCATACAATTAAATGAAATTATTTAGAAGTGGGCACAGTGATGTGTGCCTATAGTCTCAGCTACTCAAGAGACTGAGACAGGTGGATCCCTTGTGCCCAGGAGTTCAAGGCTGCAGGCTGCAGTGGATAATGCCTGTGAATAGTGACTGCATTCTAGCCTGGGCAATGTAATGAGACCCTGTCTCTTAATTTTTTAAATTAAATTGGAAGGAGTCCTGGTGCCAGGCCACTCACCTTTATCAGTTATTGGATGAGCAACACTGGACAGATTGACTTCTCTGCACCACCGTTCCCTCATCTGTAAGACAGGGAGAACAAAAATGCAGTGAGGGGGTTAGTGAGCACTGAGTTAACTGCACATAAACTTGAACAGTGCCTGGCATCTAGCAAGCTCTCGGTAAATATGAGCTCCTACTATTTTATTAGAATTTTCTTTCGTTAAAAATGGACTTTTAAATGGGACATGTTACTATAGTCTCAGCCTAAGTATCCATGGTTTATTAAATTAAACTTTTAAACTATTAAGTTCAAAGCCTAAAATAGCAAATACTCGAACACTGATACCCAGATTGCTGAAAAGTTAACATTTTGTTAGGTTTGCATTAGAGTTTAAAGTGTACAGATAAAATTATAGAATTGAAGTACCTTATTTGAAATGTATTTGGTGTATATCAAGTAAGTGGCATCTTACTATAAGTGCCTTTCATTAAAGCTGTCTTCATTAAATTTTAAAATTTGAGATCTGTGTTGATAGATATGGATCTAATGTATTTATTTTGTAGGAATCTGCCACAGTTTATTCATTCCCCTACTAATGTGAGTTTGGGTTGTTTCCAGTTTCTGTTAATGCAATTCTGCCACACGCATCTCCTTGTTTGTCTTCTTATGTACTTGAATGGAAGTTTCTTTATGGCATCTCACAGAAATGAAATTATCAAAGCACATATGTGAATGTCCATTTGTATTACACATTGCCAAATTGCTGTCAAAAATATCAATTGTTAAAGAAAAATAAAAATAAAAACCATAGTTCTGCCCATAACCACGTAGTCAAAAACTTAAGTCATTCTGATTTCCCTGAAACACTAGCTTTAATCATCAACAAAACACAGAAGTTTGACCTCCTTGCCAGCATGATTCTGTGAAATTAAACCAATCAGCTATAGAAAAATCATCCTGAACAGCTCTGCTTGCCCTAAAAAAGAATGTTACTGTATAGTAGCCAATCACAAAAATGGTCCACACACTTCCTTCCCAACGCTTTACAAACTGCTGTGACTGCGACAAAGGGGGCTTCTGAACTGTTTTCAGCTCAGGGTCTCCTGGTTCAAGAAGTGTTCCTTTGTATGCACAAAAAGCTTTTTTAAAATTTAAATGTTTGAACTGATTTTATTTTTGACACAGTTTATATTCCCCTCAGAAGAAAATGTGAATTCCTCAACTCCATGTGCTTGCTATTGCCAATTGTTTTAATTTTTGCAAGTCTGCTGAATATGATATTGTATCTTTTTAGCATATCCCTGATAACGAGTAAGACTGAGCATCTTTTTACACAGTTATTAACTGTCTGAGTTTACTCTTCTGAGATTGTCTATTCATAGTGTGTACCCATTTTTCTAATAGACAGTTTTTCCTTTTCCCTTTAATTGCTTTTGTTTTGTTTTGTTTTTAAAAACAGGCATTGTGGCCTATTAGGCAATTTAGTAATTTTTTAATGCATACTTTATTTAGATTCTGAAGATTTATTATCATTTAATTATATATCATGAGTTTATCAAAGGGCAACATTTCTAACCATATCAGTAACTACGTCTTATTTTCTGTCACCAGGGAAATTGCTTCCATTGTCCCAAAGAAGGTTGCCCAACAATGGGTCATTTTGCTGATAGATTTCACCTTAAAAATATGAAGACTAATACATCATATTATTTTTTAAACACTGGGTCTCATTCCCCATTTGCCCGTAAGTATTATGGCTAGGTTTTATTGTAATGCTTTAAGGTACTTAGCTTTAAAAATTCAACAGTTTTTATTGTGTCTACTAAACAACTGGGCATTGGGCCAGGCTGGGGTTGCAGTGAAGACGAATGCAGTGAGGACCTTCATTATATTTAGGCTAGTGGAGAAGACAGCAAGTGAAGTCGGTCTCAATCCCAAGTAATACACTTTCTGTCGGGACACAGTCAAGATACGTGAAGAGCGGAAAAGTCTTGGAGCCTTTTGAGGGAAAGTGATTTCTAGTCTGACTCCCGAAAGATAAGTAAGAGGGAGCAGGAAATGGGAGTGTTCTGGGCAGGAGGAACTATATGTGTAAATTCCTGGAAGTAAAAGAGAAAAGAAACTGAAAGAGGCCCCCGCCAGGATTGTAGAGACCAGGAAGACAGAACAGGAGAAGGGTGGGAGAGCCACACTGGGTCAGATAGTAAAGGGAGGCCTTGTGCTTTATGTAGAGAGTTTGGGCTTATCTCTGGGTGAATACAGAGCCATTGAAGGGTATTTAAGGTTACCAGACTGGTTTCTTTTTCTTTTTTCTTTTTTTTTGCAGTTTTTGGCCAGGGCTGGGTTTGAACCTGCCACCTCCAGCATATGGGGCCAGCGCCCTACTCCTTTGAGCCACAGGCGCCGCCCCAGACTGGTTTCTTAATAAATCGCTGTAGTTGCTATATGGATTAGAGGGGACCTCTAAGTGATTATAAAAGCATACACCTTCTTGAGCAATAGGTCTTCTAGATTTTTTTTTTTTTTAACTAGTTGTCAAACTATGGCAAATAAAATCTTGGCCATAAAAAAGTATACATGCAAAGGAAATAGGAGAAGACATTCAACTTCTATTTTAAAAAGTCATTTAAAAATGCCTGAATAATTAAAGAATTTTCTTTTTAAAATATCATTAAGTTATTTGATTCTGAAAATTAAAATGTGAACCTTAATATGTATTTTTATTTCATTTTTTAGAAGATTTTTTTAAAAATTTCAGGTTAATATGAGGGTTCATAAGATTAGGTTACAATGTTTGCATTCGTTAGGTGAAGTCCCTGTTGTAGTTCTGCTTAATGTGTATTTTTAAATGTAGTTTTTTGCCACGCTCACTGTATTTTTGCATGAATATGTACAACACTGTCCAAACACAACCCTGCAAGTTATATTTACACTAACGGGCCCAGGGTGTCATGCTTCTTGCATGTATTTTTAACTCTCTCTTCCTTTCTTTTCTTGTTTCTTTTATTTCCAGGTTGGATGCACAGATTGTCTGTAAATCTCCGTGGAAGTGAAATCTCAGAAGGGACCATATTTCTCCATGTAGGCGGGACCACTGGGAAAGCAGGGGAGTTTGCAATTGCCAGGTAGGCAGAGTGAGGACGGGGCGCCTCCCACGGGGACAGGGGTTCAGTCGTGCTCAATTTGACCGGTTTATTGAGCTGTGCAATCTTTTCTTTTCTTATAATACCTGGGCTGCCTTGTTATCTTTAACTTTTCTTTTTCTTTCATCCTTTCTGGATATAAAGTAGAAATCATAATATCCATTTTCTCTCCACTTCCAGCTAGAAGCAAAAAATATTAGGAAATGATGACAGGAAAGTGCAAATCTAGATGACAAAGCAATGGGAACAATTGACAGCAGAGTACACATGATGTATTTTTAATCTGGTCCATTTAATATTATACAAATTTAAGCATGTATTTTTCATCTTTAAAAGCCATGAATTACTTTTGAAATAGGACATTTATATCAATTGCTCAATTTCTAGTAGGCTTTCTAAGTGGTGCCCTCAGATACGGGCTGTGTGTGTCACGACAATCAAAGGGCAGAATGATGAGTACAGATGTTCACTGTGTATCTTTTGCTAAAGTCTCCTTTTAGCTTGAGTTTTCCTTAATCTTTTATTTGATCAGCCTTAGCATTTCTGTATTACATATTTTATTTCCATTGTTTAATTCTGTAATTTATTTCAAAATTAACATTATACATACTAATTAGCCACTGCCCTTTTGCAAACAGATGAATGGATTAGGTGTTTTATCCTTATGATGATTTCCATTATCTTCAGATACTGGGCCCAGACATGAAAAGCAAAGATTTGGGGGTTATTTTGCCCATTGAAATATATCAGTTTAATCACCAGCAGAGTTTCTGCACATCATCTTGCCTGAGTAATTGCCTATAAGCATAAGTTAGTGATTATCCAGATCTTGGGGTGCCCAGGCTCCTGCCCAGCTTTCTAGCCGCATAGCCCATCATTTGGCTTCGTTCACCTCAGTTCAATGAGGTTATTGAACTGCCCGTTGACTGTTCACACTACCCAGCATTAAACAGATCCCACCCTCTTGTTCTTCTGGACTTCACCCATGCCGTTCCTTTGTTCCAGACACTTTTCCCTGTCTTTGCATATTTCATTTCTACTTGTTCTTCATGCTCCATTAAGCATCCCTCTGAGAACAGTTCAAGAGGCTCACAGGACACTGGGTGTGGCTGTGTGGTTTGTGCCCTGCACAAAGGCACCTGGCATGGGGCAGATGTAAATGATATGTAGTTTGTGCTTCTTTTCTATGTGTGGGAGTGTTTCCATATCTCTGTTCTTTCAGTAATGTCTAAAGAAGCTGTTTGAAATATTGTCACAAAGCTGCCCATCCCTCTTTTAAGAACAATTAAGCATTAAAATTTACAGAAAATTTCTTGTCTTGTAATGAAGTCAGCTAACTGAATTTGTATGCTGGCCTATTCTTATTCTTGTCCTGCTTCACCTTAGGTTGTAACTTAGTTAATTGAGTTTCCAATGATGCTTTCATGAAGGACTGGCTGCATTGTCTGGGTGTCTAGTGAAGGCAGTTCATGGAATGACAGAATGATTACCTTTAAGAACTTGGAAGAAAAGTTCCCCTCTGGTAATTAAAGAATTCTACTTGTAAGAGAGTAAGACAGACCCTAGGAATAAGAACATTCGCTTATTCATTCAGCAAACATGTAAGTTCTGCTTGCTGAAGAAACAGAGGCCCTTTGTCACAGAGCTTATATTGCAGTTAGAGACAAACAATAAGTTAATAATAAAAGAATAGTGACAGGTTAAGAAGAAAATAAGGCAAGGTGATATAGTAGGGAGCAATAGTGGGACAAGTTCAGTTTGGACTGTAGCTTAGGCAGTCACTAACTATAGCTCAATGTATGCTACTGACACAGCCAAACAAGGGACTATATTATCAGAAGGTGAATTGTTATCAATGGACATAGAAAATGGGAGTCAGGGAACCCTTATATGGGTAAGAGATGTTAGTTGGGGTGCCAGAAGCCACAGAAAGGAGGGGTTTTTTTTGCATTGTAGGGAAGAAACATTTTATAAGGTTTCATTTTGCCTTGGATGGAATGTGCCTTTTACCTTGACATAATCCACCTCTTTCTGCTATGTTGCCCCAATCACCAAGACATCTTTTGATCACTAGTTTGGATACCCAGTTCCTTTTATGCAGGTAAAGAAGGTAGCAGGACATGGTAGGGAGGATTCTGGTTAACAAATGAGAAGCATTTCCCCATTGTCAACTGATAAACAGGATTCTAGTTTATAGATCAGTCTTGTGTAAATTTAGTCCATCATTGATGGTTTCTTGATTTTCCAGTGTTAGTACAATCTTATTTCTGAAACTACAAAGCCAAGACCAGATCTTTTAGCAGGGTGTCGTGACAGGTGCCTGTAGTTCCAGCCACTGGGGAGGCTGAGGCAAGAGGATCTCTTGAGCCCAAGAGTTTCAGGTAAGCTATGATGCCATAGCATTCTACCTAGGGTGACAGAGTGAAACACTATCTCAAAAAAATAATAATAAAATAAATAAAATAAAATAAAATAAAATAACCAGGTCTTTCACTATGGAGAACTCATAACGTTAATGCCTTCCTAAGCATCCCTTACAAATCAGCTGGCCAAGCTTTCTCCATTTACCTCACCCTTCTTTCAAACTTCAGAACCATGCTCTTCTGGACTACTGACGGATATGGAAGGAATGAATCTCCTACAACTATATGCCAGCAAATATCAGTTTCTCTTCCCTGGTATACACTCAGATGTGTTTTCTTTCATTCACCATCGTGAATACCCAGTACAAGTTTATGAATGTTATTTTTGTTTACAGTGGAAAACTTAAACCAGGCACGACTTACACAAAATTAATTGAAACTGATGTTAATGTTGGAAACGTCACAAGTATTGAGTTCATTTGGAAAAACCATTCGTCTGAACATTCTCATAAGTTGGGAGCAGAAATGGTGGTAGATACATCTGGAAAATATGGATATAAGTAAGTTTTCCTTTCTCCTTTTCGTTTTCAAATGTAGTTTAAGTTTAAATTTTATAAATGGTGTTTAAATCCATGTATAATTTGAAATTTACAACTAGTATAAACATTGACACATCTTAAAATTTTGCTGTTAAAGAAAGGGAAATTAGGGTGGCACCTGTGGCTCAGTGGGTAGGGCGCCGGCCCTATATACCAAGGGTGGCGGGTTTGAACCCGGCCCCAGCCAAACTGCAAAAAACAAAAACAAAAAAACTGGGCATTGTGGCAGGCACCTGTAGTCCCAGCTACTCAGGAGGCTGAGGCAAGAGAATTGCTTAAGCCCAGGAGTTGGAGGTTGCTGTGAGCTGTGACTTCACAGCATTCTACCAAGAGTGATAAAGTAGGACTCTGTCTCCAAAAAAAAAAGGAGGGAAATTACTTAAGAATCAACACTATATTGCAAAAGTGTGTACAAAATAATAACTACTCATTTAATCAAAAGATCTACCAATGTCTTTTTCCTCCCTGGAATCATATTAAAGTTCTTTTATTTTTTTCCTTTAAAATTTTCAGATCTACCTTCTGTAGCCAGGATGTTATGGGACCTAATATTGCCCAGATCCTGAAACCGTGCTCTTCTCAGACCCAGAGCTGATGGATTTATTTAGTGAGAGCAGTGAATAATAGAGGTCCTCCCACCCAATATCCAGACCAAACTTGGCCCTTGTAAATGAGACAGAAAAGTACAGGTTTGTCTGGGACCAGGGGAGGGGGACTCTGTACAGAATGTTCACCTCATTGATAAATGTCCATATGTACCTTAAAAACAGACTGGGCTGAAAATAATTCTGTGATCTATAGGAATCTGGGTATCAGTGACAAAATAGAACTACATTGAAATTTCCCTGAATAAGATGAGTGATACAAAAGTATGGCCGTGGAAACTCACTGGGCAAGCATGAGCCTCTGGCTGGCTGAATTTTTAAAGTATTATATATTTTGCATATTTCCAGGTAGAATAATCATTGCTCTGAAATGAAAAATGTTTACTATATTGTTAAATCTTGCTGAGACAAATTATGACCACAGTGTATGATGAATGATAGATTATAACCTTGTGGGTTCATGGATTTATCTATTAATAATTAAAACTAATGAGAGTAACTAGTATTTCCCAGGTGTTCCTTGGTCTTCAAGGTATATGAGGTGAGAGTGGTTTTAGAGCTTATCTATTTTGTGTACTTCGGTTAGCAATGGGCCCTTGAGATCATCGGCCCGGGGTGTGGCCCTTCCTCCAGAAGTCCTCTGCCACAGGAGAATTTTTCCTCTTCCTTGGTCTTGAAGGCTCTATTGAGAATTTGTATTTAGCCTAAAGGCAGCATTTCATTAGTAAAGCACTGAATGGACCCTTTGTGTTTACAATAACAATATTATAATATTTAAATGCATCAATTATTTATTTTCTTTATTTTGCTTCTTTCTCTTCTAATTCAGTTGTCCTTGTCCAGTGAAAGGGAAAGATTTATGTTTTTATTTGCTCTGTTTTTTATCACTAGGCTCAGTGTTTAGCCTGTAGTACTGTGTTATAAATATTGTTGAAAAGAAATGATGACAAGTACTCTGCAGAGGGTTTCTTGGTTCCCCTTGGTGGCTCGCTGCCAACTGAACCTTAAGAAGAGATCTGTGGATGTCCATAAATAAACCTGAGCTGTGGCAGAAGGCAGAGAAGCAAGCCAGTGACTCTCTCCCATTGTGCAAGTAGGGGATAAAAGAAGATTGGAGCGTAAAGCTGGGTGGAGGAGAAAAGGAGATGTGGGCACATTTGGCATGAGTGTGACCAGGCATATTCAGACCTAGGACTAGGCCAGTCTAGGAACGGGGTGGCTGTAAGCAGGCTCCGTCAAAGGGACTGAGCTATACTGTAACTGCGTCACCGACCCTGTTGCCAGAGTCAGCAAGGACTCTAAGGGAGGGAATTTGTTCTGGGAGAGCAGCTGTCCTGAGCCCATGCTGGCCAACTGGGAGGAAGAGTGATGGAGCAGGTCATAGCAGTAGGTTTTGTGAGCCCTAGCCTGACTCCTTGCCCAAGAGGTCTCTAGGCTGGTTCCTTCCAGACTTGAAAAGACAAATGAGAGTCAATTAACTCTTGAGAACCTTATTTTAATAAAGTATAGGCTCTCTGTCCCATAGTTCTTCTTATCTGTCCCCTTTTTGCATTATAAGAATGTTGTGAAGATGAAAAATAGTGCATGAGCTATCTAGGCAAAGGAATTCCAAAAGTTCAAGGTGACACCATTATTTTCTGTATGTGTTGCTCCCTAGGAAAGCTTTAAAAAATGATTCTCTCTCCCTCTGAGTGCCTGCATTATTATAGCATAGTGATTCTGGCCTACAACTTTTGGGCAAAGACTGTTAGGGAATTCTTCAGCTTCTTGAGTGAACTTGATGGAATGCTGAAAATGACTTCCACTCCAATTACCCAATTGCTTCCTCCACTCACGGCTGCCCTCACCTAACCTGCATACCTTGTCATGCCATCACCCACAAATGCCCACCTCCGAACTTGCTGATTGGGCTATCTCCCTCTCTGATCGGGCTGTCTCCCTCTCTGATCACAGCTGCCTCCCCTTCAGGCTTACTCAGGGACATTCTGAGAACTTCAAACTTCTGACCATTACCCTTTCCATTCTGGAAACCTCCCAAGCTACCAGCCCATTTCCCTTCCTGGCCAGCTTAGGTGGCATGATAATTTAGTTTGGAAATATGTCTATCAACATCCAAAACTTAACATCCTAATATCCGAAACTCCTTGTCTTTTTTTTTTTTTTATACCCTGTTAAGTGAAAACTGAATGCCCCCAGATTTCCTCTTTCTCTGGCCAGCGCCTAAGCAGTCCATTGCTGCTGGAGCAGTTGAACCACAGGGAAGACTGATATTATTATAAATCATGATGGACACTGTTCTGAAATTCTACCTTTTCTTTTTTATATATTGTCTGCCCTAACTCTGCTCCTATCCTACTTTACATAGAAGCCATCATCAGATCCTAACTTGCTCCACTTTTTGATCCAAAGGCATCAACTACTAAAGTCTACATCATTCTCTCCTTTCTCTTTGTACTAGGGAAGCTGCCTTTTCTCCCCTGCCAGGCCAGTCCCTCCTGCTGTGCACTGGATGCACTATTACCAGCTCCTCTGAGAACCTTACCCTATGGTTACTTTTTCTTTCTTTTGTATATTCAGTTTCTCATTGCATCAGTTGTTTGTTTGTTTATTTGGTTTTTAGACAGGGTCTGGCTCTGTTGCTAGATTGCAGTGGCATCATCGTGCCTCACTGCAACCTCAATGCCTGGGCTCAGGGAATACTCCTGCCTCCACTTCCCAAGTAGCTGACACTATGGGTGTGTACCACCACACTTACTTATTGTTTTTTAAGTTTTGTATGGATGGGGTCTTGCTGTATTTCTTAGGTTTGTTTCAACCTCTGAGCTCAAGAGATCCTCTTGCCTTAGCCTCCCAAAAAGCTGGGAATACAGGTTATAAGCCACCACACCCAGGCTGTATCAGATTTTTTAAAATTTGAAATCTCTCCTATTAGGGAAAAAAATTCTCTTCAATCCTAAATTCCCCTCTACTCCCACCTGATCCCAAAACAGCTCTCACCAAGACTTCCAGTGACCTCCATCACTAAGTTAATGGGAAATTTTACTCGTTTACTGCAGCCTTCAGTTGTCAGCTCCCTTCCACTCTCTCTCGACTTAAAATTAAAAACATTTTTCTTGTTAGTTTTCTTCTTGGTTTTTTATTTGTAGAAATCTCCAACTGGTCACAGTAGCAGAGAAAGTAGTAAGATAGCACCCCCAGGTGCCTGTCATCCAGTTTAACAATTTTCAAATGTCAGTCCTATTTCATGAGGTGTATAGAAGCACCGATCCCCATTTTTGCCTTTTTTTAATTTTTGTTGGAGTATTTTAAACCAAATCCTAGCCATAATACTGTTTCTCCCATTTATATGTCACTGTGTAACTGTAAACAACAAACTTGCCCACCCTAACTGCAAAATCAATTTTATAAAAGTTAACAATTATCATTTCAATTTTATTTCTTTTTTTAAAATAGAAAAGTATAGTTTATATCAGAGAAAGGGAAGAGAGTAGAGGGAAGAGATGAGACAGAGAGCAGGGAAGATGGGGGGAGAGAAGAGGAGCGAGAGAATGGCTTGGCCTCCCAAAGAAAGGAAGACTGCCATCCTATCATTTTTAAATGAATTTAACTAGTTAATTAAAAAGTAATAGTCATCCCTTAATATCTTTTTATATTCAGGTTGTGCTCACATTTTCCAGGTTATCTCAAAATGTCTTTCGACCCAAGCGAGGTCTACACACCGCATTTGATTGACCTGGCCCTAAGTCTCTTTTAATCTGGGACAGTTGCCCCAGCCCCGTCTTCCATGCCAGTTTTGTTAAATAAAACAGATCACGTGTCCTGAGAAAGTGTTTGCCTTCAACTACTGGAATCCTGTGGTGTCACTCAGTGTATTTCTTGCTCTTGCATCTCTCCTGTAACTACTCCTTAGGAGAATCAGATGAGATTCTGGTTCCTCTTCCTTAGGCAGTGATCAGGCGCGTTGGCCACAACCATGGTAGCTTACAGTTCTCAAGTTAACTGCTGATTTTTCAAAGGATTATGGATTTAATAACACTGTATAAATGTGAGAGGGCTATGTCAATTAGAGTTGTAGGTAAAACATTCATAGAATATTGGATGACTTGGAATCCAGCTGCTCGTGGCAAGCTGAGAGGAGAAAAGTGGCTGGGAGGTTTCCCGGGTTCCTGCTTGAGAGGACCAGAGGAGAGGGCCAAACTTGTTACCTCCTGAAATAATAATCATCATCATAAAATATCTGACTACTGAGGAGCACTGACCTCTGCATTGGGCCTGGGGCTGGGGTCAGTCGAGAGCAATCTCGCCCAAGAGGTTAGAGGAAAAGTCCCACACCTGGTTCAGTTGCCTGACTACTTCCCCAGGCTCATAGAGGAGCGAGGATAGTAGAAATTCCCCTGTTTCATAGAAATTCCCCTCAGGTTTTGTTGACTCTGCATCTCTCCAGAACAAGCAGGGAGCTTCAGGAACAGAAGAATAATTTCTGCCAAGTTATTGTTTCTTAGCCTTTCAAAACTTAAGCTCATGTTAGATAAACATAAAAATCTCATGTCTCTCCTGGGGTCTTTACTCCTCCATTTGGAAAATCAATCTTTTTTTCATAGACCTTCCGGCCAAGAAGATTTTGTAAATCTTTACTTTGTGTAAATTGTGTAATAAAAATGATAGGTGTGGTTTGCATTAGGTTGTGTTGTGTTTTTCCCCCAAAATACATACTTACAAAACCAGATGGGCTCCTTTATTTTAAGCACGCTTTTTTAGGAGCTCTGCTTTTAATGATTTAAGTGCTATACTCCGGAGAGTGGAGTCTTTCTACTAGATTTTATTCCAGGAAGAGAGGCTGAATGTCTGTATAGGCTGGGCCAAAGATTTTTGCAAATGCTTTTTTCCTTATACAACCTCTTTTCTGTGTTTGAATGTTGCAAACATTTAGCCTTTGCATAGTCGTATATTTTTCTTTTCTTTTATAGGCTTATTTTCCCATTCATTTCCT